GCGGCAGTCTGGTCTCTGGGGATCGTGCTGTGCATCATGGTCTGTGGAGATACTCCTTTTGAGCAGGATGAGGAGTTCATCAGGGGCCAACTTTTCTTCAGGCAGAGGGTCTCTTCGGAGTGTCAGCATATTAGATGGTGCTTGGCCCTCAGACCACCTTGTCTGCCCTCTTTGAAGAAATCCAGTATCATCCGTGGATGCAAGATGTCCTGCCAGCCCAGGAAGTGTCTGAGATCCACCTCCACAGCCTGTCGCCAGGACCCAGCAAATAGAAGCTTTTCCATCATGTCCTCTTCCTGTCAGACGCTCCAGGGAGGGGAGGCTTCTGTACCAGTGACACTTCTTCACCAAGTAGGACAGTCCTTGATGCAGGAACATTTACAGCTTATTCCAGAATGCCTGGGATGGGGGGAAGAAACTCCTCTCCTGGCCTCAGGTCCTCGTGGATGCTCTCTCCTTCTCACAGGTGTCCAGCCAGCATTGCTGGACTCTGAAAAACCCCCAGGGCCGGGGGAGGTGAGAGTGTGAGAGAACCCTGCCATGGAACTGCCCCCTTCACCACAACTTCTGCTGAATACAATGGTGGGTTGGGTTGGGAGAAAATGGCTTGAGGTAGGATAGGACTAGTACCATTTTAGTCCATCACCTCTTTCGACTCTTCTGTTTTCTGTGGGTGCTCCAGCTGTGCTGGGAGAAGTACTTGAACTTGCCTCTTTACCTGCAGTTTCTCCAAAAATCTGCCTGAGTCTGGTTCCCTATTTTTCTCCCCCATACCCACTTCCCCATCCTTCTTGTGAAAGGTGCCATGGAAGAGGCTACAGGGCCAACTGCTGATCCACCTACCCTATTTCTGGTCTTCCTTTTTGGTTTTACTTAACTGTTTCAAAGCCAAGACCTCACATGCAAAAAAAAATAAAATAAAATAAATGCACAAACAATGGAAATCGACAGAAAAAACTAAATATGTGTATAGTCGGCATGATAGTATACAAAAAGATTATATTGATAAAATATTTAAAAATTTTGTTTTCAAATTATTTTCTGTTTTTTCTTTTCTTTTTGAAAGACGCGCATTCTAGCCTGGATGTCAACATTATGTATATATGAATGTATGTATGTATGTATGTATGTATGTGATTCCCTTCCAGCTCCAAGCTTCTACAGCAGCCTCCATAGATTTCTTTCCTCCTTGGACTTGGGAACCTTCTGGGGAAAGGCTACAACACTTGCTCTGTTCGTAGGGTGACTGAACCCAAGTGGGACAGCTGCTGCAGCTCCTGCCTGCTTACCCAAGTGGGATGGGCTCTGTGGGTGATGGGGGAGAGGCATTGCTGACTTGCGTATATATGATAGATAAACAGAAGCCAGTTCTAGATGACGTACCATCTGGATCTTCTCTGGTGTTCTGTCTGAGCAGCATGGAGCCTCCTGGCATCATCTCAGTGAAATACCATGCAGAAGAAAAAAAGAGATCTTTTTGTAAAGATTTTATGTATTTATTTTTAGAGTGAAGGGAAGGAGGGAAAAACCGAGGGAGAGAAACATCAATGTGAGAGCGAAGCTTCTATCAGTTACTTATTGCTTTTGCCCCAACAGGGGACTGAACCTGCAACCCAGGCAACCTGGAATGGAAAGGGTGAACTTTCAGTTTGCAAGACAATGCCCAACAAACTCAGCCACAATGGTCAGGGCCTTTTTTTCCCCTTATGCTAAAGACAAATGATTTGTCATCATGTGTATGTTTTAGCATTTTTTCTCATGTTTAAGAAACATAGGTTATCTAGGAACCAAGGTGCTTGTTTCCTTATTGTTGTTAAGGATCTTTCTGAGTAATGTTTACAAGATAGATATAGATATATAGATATAGATACAGATATAGATATACTATACATCCTATTATTAATTTGTCCCAAATATGCATTATAAATATTTTTCCGGTTTGTTATTTGACCTGCTAATGGTGCCTTTCCCATGTGGAAAACTTATTTTCAATTTTTCAGTTTTTTATGTCAATATTTTCACTTACGGTTACTGAGTTTTGTGTCACAGCTAGAAAGACCTTCTCCTGCCTTGACTGGCATGGCTCCTTGGTTGTGCATCAATTTTTTTAGATTTTATATATTTATTTTTAGACAGAAGGGAAGGGAGAAATAGAGGGACAGAAACTACAATGTGTGGTTGCTTCTCTCACATTACCTACCGGGGACCTGGCCTGCAACCCAGGCATGTGCCCTAACTGGGAATTGAACCAGTGACCTTTTGGTACGCAGGCCAGTGCTCAATCCACTGAGCTACACCAGCCAGGACTTACATAAATATTTATCTCTCTCTCTTTCTCCCTCTCTTCCCCTTACACTAAAATACAAAAAAAAAAAAAACATTAAAAAAATTGTTTAAAAGAAAGACCTTCTCCAGTCCTAAATTATTAAAGGAAATGCCATGTAACTCAATTTGGCTACAGCATGGGCACATGAAAGGAAGTCACTGAGACTAAGGCTGAAAGTCCTAGTTGTCCCCAGATCATCTGAAATTATCTAGCTAACAAACATGATGAATAGGGAGAGAATGGTGTGTGTGGTATGCATGTGGTGTGCTAAATTCCTTATTTCTATAAGGAAATGTAATATACACAGTTGTTGACATTGATAAATCAAAACTGGAAATGTAGTTTCATTATGCTAAGCTACAAAATAACTTGTAAAAGAATGAGAAATGGGAATTGAACACATCAGTTGCTCTAGTGAACAAGATTAGGAAAAACTTCACATTTCATTTTATACACTCTGATGTCCTTCGAAATAAAGTGATGTGTGCACAATACGTCTGTGAGTAAATGAAAAATGACAGATGAGCCAGGCCATGCAGGGGTCTGAATGCCAAGCAAACTCTTCTTCAGCTATGGAGGATAAAATGTCTGATGGGTGGGCTTCCTGCACAAGCTCACAGGGGACAGTAGCTGGCTCCAGGGCAGCCACCCCTCACAGGGAGGGGGACCAGAGTGGGTAAGATGCAGAGAGGAAGAGATAAGTCATTAGAATCTGGTCAAATGAGAAATATCCCATGAGGCCCTTGTCTTAATCTCCAGAATCTCATCTGCCAGTGCCCCTGGTACAGGAAATCACAGGGGCTGTGCAGCTTCTTGATAAGCCTCCCCTGGTCTTCAGGGTTCACTCCTGCTCCTGCAGGCACCTCCTATCCATAGGCTGGAAGAGCATCCTCTGCTTTTCGGCACTCCCTGGGAAGCTCTCCCTTGTCTACTCTCACCCTCAACTTCAAAATGGCAGTAAGGTAAGAGTCAGCTCTGAACTACCTTCTTTCAATTGCAGCCCTGTTTAGTCCCTCTGAGTCCACAGGCTCACGGCTGCACCTTGGGTGGGGGACGCAGGGAGCCATGGGATCCATCAGCGAGAATCCAGAGACAGGAAGCCTGCTCAGGGAAGCTTTGGGCGCTGGTGGCATAGACCATGGGAGATCCACACGGGGCCCACCAGGTCCCCTCTGCTTCACTGATGTTGCTTTCAAAACAAAATAGTTTTAATAACCTCAGGTTTCATAGATTAGCTTACTGTTCAAAGGATTGGGAGTTTTTTTTCTTTTTTTGTATCCTTCCCAGGAGAATACACAGGGCACAACATAATGAGGTTACTGAGAAGAGTGTGATGAAGGGACTGTGTATGAAGGTGTGAGCAGGGCTAAGGGAAATCGACAAAAGGTGCGGAGGCCCCCAATATACATCATACTTAGGAGCTGTTGTACTTGCACATCCTGAAGGTTAAAGGGAAAGACAAGTTAGCAGAACTCAGGGACAGCTGTGGCTGTAGCTACGGGTGTCACTGTGACCATAAGAAAAGCCACCAGACAAGGACTATGGTTCAGCAGAATAACACCACCTTGGGCAACTGACAGCCTGAAGCTGAGAGCCAGGGAGTCACAACCCCTGTCACCCTCCTCCTGCCCTCCAATCACCTGTCAATGTCTCCCTTTCCTGAGAGCAGCCAGGAGCCAGAGGGAAAGGGAGTGCAGTGGTGAGGGAAACAGGCTGGTCCCCCCATGACGCAGAGGAGGGTAGAGGAGATAGAAATGATATTTGATGGTAAAAGAAAACAAATCCATCTCTTCCCTTGATCTCCTAACTCTTGGTTTTCCTTGGACTCTCGCTCTCTCTCTCTCTCTCTCTCTGGCAGGATGATTGTCTCAGGTTCTCACTGTATCTCCTCAGCTTCTTTGTTTGACTCTTTGCACCTCTATTGGGCACCACTTCTTTGGAATAATCTCACACTATCACCATAAATGCCTTGAGAATGCAATGTAGGTTTCACTTAACAAGGTGGGAGGACAAGGTGATTGATAAGTATTTTATGTTTACGATTTTTGCTGCTCTAAGAAGAAACCCATTGTCAGAGTGATGTAACCTGTGTGGCGCACATAGCTGGACACACCACTGAACAGCAGAGCTTCCTGTCTTCTTCATGAAGATGACACACTCGGCCACCTCTAGCACAAGAGGCCTGGCCACAGCCACACCCCTCATACCAAGAGGCTATGTACCACTTATAACCGTAAACCATGCTCTCCTTTATGGGGGATGGACATCTCAGTCACTGAGGTAGCCCAGAGGTCACATCTAGGGCTTCCAACTCCAAGCCCTTTGCCAGAAATCTCAGTCCCAGGGCAAGAGTAGTGCTGAGATCAGAGTCCTCTTGTCATCCCGCACAACCTGTACAGGCTTTCCTCCTCCTGCCTCCTGCAGACACGACATGGCCGAGGGCTGTGCCTGGAGGCGTTTGGACCATAGAATATGCCCACTCAGTAGAAGGTCTGTGTTGTAGTAGAAGGAGCCCTGATTCTAACAGTCAGAGAGAACTGGGTTTGAATTCACCTTCAGGGCTCCAAGGCTGTAAAATCTTTGGTGACTTATTCACTACTACAAAGCTCATGTCCCTCCTCTGTAGCACAGACAGTAGTTCCCAGGAGCAGAGTGTCCACGAGACTCAGTGATCATGTACGAGGTGCTCAAGTCTTGTTTCTGTTCCAGTGGTGCCAGTGGAGGGTTTCTGAGCTCGGAAGCATCTGTCACAGCCTGGGGGACCACACTGGGGCCCATGAATGAAAGCGACCACACCTTAACTGAACTTGATTCAAAAGACTTGATTTGGTATGTGCCGATCTTCATCACTGCCCTGGTCGGCCTGGCAGGAAACGCCACTGTGCTCTGGCTCCTGGGTTTCCGCATGAGGAGGAACGCCTTCTCCGTCTACATCTTCAACCTCTCAGGAGCTGACTTCATCTTACTCTTTTGCTCTATTTTGCATGCCCTGGAGACACTCATCAAGCTCTTCTATTCCATCTCCAAGTCCTTCCCTGACTTTTTCGTCACTGCATCGATCTTTTCCTACATCGCAGGCCTGAGTTTTCTCAGTGCCATCAGCACGGAGCGCTGCCTGTCCATCCTGTGGCCCATCTGGTACCGCTGCCGCCGCCCCAGACACATGTCAGCTGTCATGTGTGCCCTGCTCTGGGCCCTGTCCCTGCTGCTGAGCATCCTGGAAGGGAGCTACTGTGGCTTCCTGAATAGGAATTTACATCACTTTTGGTGTCAGACATTTGATTTCATCATTGTCGCCTGGCTGATTTTGCTGTTTGTGATTCTCTCTGGGTCCAGCCTGGCCCTGCTGACCAGACTGCTGTGTGGCTCTTCACGGGTGCAGCTGACCAGGCTCTTCGTGACTGTTGGGCTCACAGTGCTGGTCTTCCTCTGCTGTGGCCTGCCCTTCGGCATCCATTGGTTCCTCTTAGTCTGGTTTCAAAAGGATATTGATGCCTTATTTCATCTTTACCTGATTGTCTTTCTTTTGTCCTGTGTCAACAGCTGTGCCAACCCCGTCATTTACTTCTTTGTTGGCTCCTTTAGGCAGCGATGGTGGAAGGGACAGACCCTGAGGCTGGTTCTCCAGAAGGCTCTGCAGGACACCCCTGAGGTGGATGAACATGGAGGAAGCCTTCCTCAGGAACCCCTGGAGATGTCGGGGAGCAGTCTGGTGTCCTGATTCAGAGTCTTGTTTTGTTCAGTTGATGTGACTTTGAGACATGACTTTGTCCCTATCAGTTTGGAAGGTTTTCTTAACATGTCTGTCCTCTGGTCCTGGAATTAAAACAGTTAACATAATGGTCCCACTCTTGAGGTTTAAGACAGTCCCTTTATGCAAACATGAGAGCATAGGCTGAAGGACAGCCTCCCCCAGGGCCCTCCCCCCATCCCCATGGGGCTTTGCCAACTCTGAGTGCAGGACCGCACCCTCTTCTGTAGAATCCCCCCTCAGCACCAGAGGAGAGCAGTGCAGGAAAGTCTAAATTTCTTTCATCATGGCACTTGATGGAAACTATAGGAACATTACATTTTGACAGGTTTCTGTGGTCATTCCCCTGCAATGTTTCTACAAATTAAAAGAATTAAAGTTCAGTTGAGCACTAGTGCAGCAGTTTGATTTTGGCAGGCCTTAGAGTAGTTCCCTAGCATAATAAAAGTTGATTGAATAAACAAATTAATTAAGGAGCAAAAGACAATTTTCGAGTCAGTCTGTGCTAAATCCCCATTTGCCAGGTTTGAGCAACCAGCTTTAAGTTCATTGTTCTACCATTTTCAGACTAGGCAGTATGAGGTTTACCTCTGTAATGAAGTAAATCAGCATCAGGGCATATTTAAGATTGAGATATGTTGTCTACTTGTGTTTCCTTTACATAATCTCCATGAGAATCTCACATCCTCCTGGTTCCAGCCCTTTGCCTTTGCTCCAACTCTCCCTCCCTGGGAGCACTCTAATCCTTCATGGACAGTTTGCAAGAGGTATTATTCAACTCTATGTTCCCTGAGGACAGGATCTATGTCACATTTGCCTTTTATTTCAAAGAGCTCTCAGCATTTGTTAATCTGATTACAGTAATTTTGAGTCACATATTCTATAAATAAACATATAAGTTTAAATTTAGCATCTTCTAAAATCTTCTATTTTTGATAGAGCTTTAATTAACAAAGGATGATCACACAGACCATGAGGTCTATGAACTTGGCAGTGAATACACCCATGTGACTCAGACCCCAGTCAAAATATAGTTTCATCTCCTCAGAAGGTTCCCTCATGTCCCTCCCAGTCACTCCTCCTGCCCCACAGACAGCATTTGTTCCTACTGCTGTCACCAAGAGTTCATTTGCCTGACCTTTGACTTCATATGCTTAAGATGAAAAAATGTACTTTTTGTTTCTTTTACTCAGAATAGTATTATGGGATTTACCCATGTCGTTGCACGCATAGATCAGTAGTCCGTCCTTTTGTGCATCTGAGTGCTGTGTCATTGCATGTGTGCACCACAGGTTATTTTTCTATTTACAGACACACGGGTAGCATTCCATGCTGGGCTATTGTGAGCACAGCTGCTGTGAATGCACTTAATCAAGTCTTTTTCTGGACAAATATTTTTATTTCTTGGATAAATAACCTGAACAGAAATTATTGGGTCATGCAAAGATGTATCATAAACTCTGAGAAATAGCCAAACTCTTTTCCAGAGCAGTTGTGCCATTTCACATCCTCACCACCAACATACACAAGTTCCAGCTGCCCCAGGAGCTCCCCGCAAACATGTATTGCCAGTCCGTGACTCTCACTCATTCGGATGGAACCAGAGTGGTATCTGCTTGTGGTTTAGTCTGCATTTCCTAAATGACTAATGATTAACCATCTTCTCATGAGCCTATTAGCAACTTCTATTTTTTTGAACTGTCTGTTTAAGTTTTCCCATTTTTATTGTGTTACCTTTTTTTCATTTATTTGTAGAAGTTCTTATATATTCAGAATGAGTCCTTGGTTAGTTATTTGTATTGTAAATATTGATCCAGTTACTGCTTTGCCTATTCATTTTAATAGATTTTATATTTTTGAGCACTTGTAGATTTAAAGAAAAATTGCAGAGGAAGTACAGAGGGTTTCTACACAATCCCTCTCCCCAACCTCAATTTCCCACACAGATTCTCTTATTATTCACATCTCCCACAAATGTGGCTCATCTATTTAAATGGATGTACCCATATGGATACATTTTATAGATTGAAGTTTATACTTTCTATTAGCAACCTCTCTTTGTATTGCACAGTTCGATGGATTTGACAAATGTAAAACATCATGCATCTGCCATTATAATATCATATAAAACAATACTCTGTCCCAAAAATGAATGAAAAATATTGGTATATTTATTTATTTGTTTATTTTTCATTTATCCTTCTTGGTGTTCTCAAAGTTCTCTAGATCAGTGGTTTGGTGCCTGTCAATAAATCAGAAAATTCTCACCCATTCTTACTTCACATATTTCTCCTCTTCCTATTCTCTTTCTTCCTCCTCTGATATTCCCATTACATGTATACAACACCTTTTGTGATTATTCCAAGCTCTTGAACATTCAGTTCTTGTTCTTTGCAGTATTGTATTCCTTATGCTTTTCAGCTGGCAAGTTCCTATTAACAAATCTTGAGGGTCACTGATCTTGCAAAGGCTGCATCTTTGAGTTCTTCAAAGACATTCTTCATTTCGGCCATAATGTTGTGTGGGCTTTTAAAAAATATTTTTATTGTTGTTCAAATACAGTTTTCTGTCTTTTATCCCCAACCCAGCCCAACACCCCAGCCTTTCCCACCTCCCTCCCGTTTCCACTCCCCTCCTGTTATTGTCCATGTGTCCTTTATAATTGTTCCTGCAAACCCTTCACCCTTTTCCCCTGAAATTCCCTCCTCTCTCCCCTCTGGTCATTGTCAGCCTGTTCTCAATTTCAGTGTCTTTGGTTATATTTTGCTTGTTTCTTTGTTTTGTTGATTAGCTTCCTCTTAAAGGTGAGATCATATGGCATTCGACTTTTATTGCCTGGCTTATTTCACTTAGCATAATGTTTTCCAGTTCCACCCATGCTGTCACAAAGGGTAGGAGCTCCTTCTTTCTTTCTGCTGCATAGAATTCCATTGTGTAAATGTACCACAGTTTTTTGATCCATTTATTTACTCATGGGCACAAAGTTGCTTCCAGCACTTGACTATTGTAAACTGTGCTGCAGTGAACATTGGGGTGCATAGGTTCTTTTCGACTGGTGTTTCAGGGTTCTTAGGATATAATCCTAGCAGTGGAATTTTTGGGTCAAAAGACAGTCCAATTTTTAGTTTTCTGAGAAAATTCCATATTGTTTTCCATAGTGGTTGTACCAGTCTGCAATCCCACCAACAGTACACTAGGGATCTCTTTTCTCCACAACCTCTCCAACACTTGTTGTTTGTTGCTTTGTTTATAATGGCCATTCTCACTGGTGTGAGGTGGTATCTCATTGTGATTTTAGTTTGCATCTCTTTGATAGCTAGTGATACTGAGCATCTTTCCTTATATCTCTGGACCCTTTGTATGTCCTTTTTGGAGAAGTGTCTATTCAACTCCTTTGCCCATTGGTCATAATGTTTTTATTTCTAGCATTTCCACTTTTTTAGAGTGGAAAAAAACTTTTTAGAGGTTTTCTTCTTTCTGCTTATATTGTCCATATTTGCCATTAAACTCCTTAACATATTAATCACAGTTGTATAAATTGCCATTCTGATCATTCCCAATTATCAGCCAATCTTAATTTTTTTCATCTTATATGGGGAATTAATTGATCCTGTTGCTAATAATGAAAAACTAAAAATAGAATATAAGTTTATTCTTCAAGACTATAGTCATAACTAGTAAAAAATTCAGAAGAAACATTGAAACAAGTCGTTGATTTTGGGTAGTAGGGTGCTGGCAGACTTTGACCATTAATTTGATACACTTTTATATCAACTGGAATGAAAAGGTACACCTCCATGTGTTACCACTCTGCTAAAGAATAGTCTGGAGGCTGATGTGGGTCTAAGGTACAGCACAGGAACACCTCGAACTCACCTCTCCCCACAGACACACTAAATATGCAGCACCATACAGAGCAGTTCCTCCTGAAGAGGAGTAAGTGCTGACTGGACAGCTTCCCTGCAACAAATGACAGAGGGACCACATAGTAAAGATGGAAACCCTACACTAGACATGGGGACTTGCAGAAGGAGGGGGTTTCTCAAGGGGCCCAATGTAGTACTGTTTGCCCTGGGACACAGCAAACAGATAGCAATTCAAGGGCAGTGAGACTATCCAAGAAGGAAATACACTCACTAACCATAAAGTATCTGACAAAGGTGTGGGCAACTGCTGGCATGTTCTAGGATGTGAGGCACCAGAGAGAACCATTGTTTACATTCCCACTCCCCTTAGACAGATGACTGGGGGCTCAGTGAAACACTGTATGTACCCAACCTGCAGGATGACCCCAGCATGCCCAAGGTCCCTGGCCCAAATCTGCTCTAGCCAGCTATGGTGCAAGGTTTGCCCAATACCCATGTGCACTGGAACACCTCAGCCTGTGCCAACTCCAGTTCTAACTCTGTTCCACCAGAGCTCACCTGAAGCCACTTTGTCCCCCATCCACTCAGCTCCAGCCAGCTGTCCAACTACCTGCCCTGCTTCAGTGGCCCCAAGCTACACACCTTAGGTCACCTGAGTCCAGGCGCACTCCAGCTCCAGCTAACTATGACTGGGGCTGTCCCAGAGCTGCAGGTCCAGGGACACCTGAGCCCACACCCACTCCAGTTCCAGCTGCCTGCAAAAGCCACAGGCACACACACTCTGCACAGGGCTTGCTGCTACACAAAGCCACACTTTCAAGACCAAGAGAGGTAGCTGCTCCATAAAAAACAAATATGAAAAGTCAAACAAATTAGGAGAGAGAGAAATATGTTTCAAATAAAGAAAAAACAAGACAGAAGCTTCAAATAATTTCTAATGAAATGAAGATTAGTAATTCATCTAAGAAAGAGTTCCAGTTTGGTCATAAATACAGTCACCAAACTCAGGTGAAGAATAGGGGAACACAATGAACACTTTAAGAAAAAGATAGAAAATATAAGAAAGAACTAATCATACCTGAAGAATACAATAACTGAAATGAA